AGTTACGTCCTTCCTTACCCCTCTACTTCCAATTCCATCTCGTTCACGCACGAGACTCACTCTCTCTATCTACAAGCCCAAACAAATATCCTGGGGTCTGGACGTAACACAGTTATTGCTAATATTTATAGCTAATGCTATTAGTACTCGACGATCCATAGCACAGAATATATATTTTTTTTTGCTTTTTACTCCACCGGGTGGATTATAACGCCTTCAGCCTTTTTATTAGGCTATATAGCGCACTGCACTGAGCACAGAATATATATAATCTATAGGTTATGTGATGCCTTTAGATGGGTTTTCAAATATCTCAACTCTCAGATGCGTTCAGAAACTTCAATCTACCGAGGTCACCTGACAGTAGCTCCGCCCATACCCAGTCCATCCTTCCCTTACTCGCTGGGTGAGATTTCTGAACGCACCCCAGGTGTGGCGCAAGGGTGGTAATACGTTAATGTGCAACTTCAATTTGTGACAATTTCATACTTGTGATTGGCGCAACATCGAAATGTAGCGTAAGTATTACACAATTTTTAAGCATATGTTTTATAGGAAATATTTAATTTTTCGTACTTTAGAATAATATTACAATGAGTTTAACACATTCGTTATTACGGGCGATTGGAGTAATCCATCATAACGCGATATTCATATATTATGGGCATAGTCGTGCAATGCATTTTGTCGTAACTTAACATACAATTTCTTGTTGACTTTCCGCGGCACTTGAAAAGATTTATTTCAGAGCATTTCATGTTAGATTTTTATTATTGTAATAAATATATTAAACAATTAAATTAATTAAAAAAACATCCTACACACAGGACGCTTGCCACATGGTAAAAGTTGAATCGAATTCAACTTTTTCCGCACGACAAGAGATACTCTTTTCGGATGATATATACAATCTCGAAAACATGTATACATATACATAAATTATTAATTATTCTTTTATTTTTTCAGAAGAAATTACAGATCAGGCGGAGCGAATACTTTTGGAATGGGACGA